ATACAACACTTCTATGAGAAGCAAAAAAATAAAATGTAGAAGTAAAAATATAGGACAGAAATGATAAAACTGAAAAATACAATCTTTAAAAATATAGATCCGAATGTACAAATGAACAATCTTTAAAAATATAGATCCGAATGTACCACATTTCTTCCGATTTGTGTATTTTAAAAGCACACCGACGCTGAATATTGTGTAATAAAAGTTAACGTTTAAAATTAGTCTTGCGTTTTTTCCATTTCAAAAGGGAACAAAAAATGATCGTAGTTGAGCTCACCTCGCTGGGCTCGGAGACCTGCATCTGGGTCTCGGGGGGGGCCCGGATCACCATCACCAGCTGGTCCGGGGAGTCGAAGGACTGCCGGAGGTCCTGGCAGCGCACGTAGCCCAGCCTGAGGAGCCAAGCCTTAAGGAAACATCTGCTCCAGATGTGTGTGGGGGGGGGGGGGACCACGGGGGGCCGGGGCCCTGCCGCTCCCGCGGGGGCGGGGCTACGTTTACTCTAAGCCAGGAGCTTTAACCTTTACGAGGAACCGAACCAACCAGCTTCAGATGCTGCATTCACTGAACCTTCTGCAGTGTCAGTTAAAACATGATTTATTACATTATTTAAGAAATTTAAAGTTAAGTTTAAGTTAAATTAACATTAAGTACATAACTTAGTTTAACTTAACTTTGACTTATTAAAAAAATGTTGCAAGACAAAATAGTTTTTAAAAAATTGTGTGGGGAGGGGGGCTGAAATTCTTTTATTGGGTTGAAATATTTTTGGGGTGCCAGAATAAAATAATATGGTAATTTGTTGTGAGTTCATGCCCTGTGTTGGTTTGTTCTATGAGCACAGGGATGTTCATGTACGGCTCATTTTGTGCGCAAGCAAAAAAAACAACAACACATACATGCGTCTTTAATTTGGAAAAAAAAAAAAAAAAAAGTCATGTTTTAATTGTCACTAAAGAAGGGTCAGTGAAGGCAGCATCTGAAGCTGGTGGACGCCGGCTAAACGGGCCGGTGGCAGCAGGAAGGGGCCGATTGGACGCCGGACGAGGGACAAAAGGATATTTCTTGTTCTGCGGCTCCTCGGTGAGCAGCCGCAGCTGCAGGTTGCATTTGGAGACGAGCTGGTCCAGCTGCTCCTCCGCCTCCGTCAGGTCGCACACCTCCCTCTGCAGAGCCTTGTGCCGCGAAACCAGGCTGGCGTCCACTCGGTTCCCACTGTGGAACGGCCGCGCACACGGAGGAGAAGAAGAAGAATTAAAATAATAATAAGGAAAAAACAAGAAAAAGAAGAAAAATAAGAAAGAGAACAATAATAATAAGAAGAAGAAAAATAATAAGGAGAACAACAAGAATAAGAACAAGAACAAAAGAAGAAGAACAAGAAGAAGAACAAAAAGAAAAATAATGAGAACAACAAGAACAGGGAGAAGAAAAATAATGAGAAAGACAAAACAAAAGAACAACAAGAACAAAAAAGAGAAGAACAAAAATAATAAGAAAAATAATGAGGAGAACAACAAGAATAAGAAGAAGTAGAAAAAGAATAAGAACAAAAAAAAAAGAACAACAAAAACAACAAGGAGAAGAAGAGGGAGAACGAAAAAAAAAAGAACAAAAATAGGAAGAAGAAGCAGAAGAAGAAGTTAGTCCCGGGCACTGCCACGCTAACTTTTCTGAAACTCTGCAGAAGAAGAGCTCCTGCATTGGATCAGAGTCCGGGACACTTTCTTTCTGGCCGCAGGCTGCCGTAGAAACGCCGACTCGGCAGTTTCTGCTGGCCGACTCTGCCGCCCTCCGGTACTCACAGCCACTGGATGTGGTTCTTGGACTTCTTGGAGATGAGCTGGATGCCCTCCAGGACGTTGGTGATGTCGTAGATGCGTCTCTTCTGGACGTCCAGCACCTGCGAGGCCCAGTTCAGGTCCACCACGCCGTCCGCCGACTGGGACAGCAGGTTCAGGAAGCGCTTGGTGGTCAGGTTCAGGGAGGTGTCGTAGCGGGACTTCTCCGCCGTGCTCCGGGGAACTGGGGGGGGGGGGGGACGGGCCCATGGGCGGACTAATAAAACCACAAACTCACACACACACACAAAAGCTTCTCACACACACACAAAGCTTCTCACAGCAGACACACACAGACGGAGGAGCCCCAAAACCAGAAGGCTCTGCCTCCTTAAATCCAACCGGAATAAGAACCGGAAAACGGGTCTCGATTCAGATTTTTTACAAGCATCATCCGACAAAAGGCAGAATCTGTAAAGTGGATTTAACTGTGCAGAGATGCTCTTTGCTGTCTTCTGGAGAGTCGTGGCTCAGGTCTGACATCTCCAAAACACACAATCTCACACATACACACGTTAGAATAAAGTGTTTTTAGACACATTGTGCGATGGAACTGCAACAATTGAAGGCCCTTTTGAAGCCACTCATGAATCAGTCTGAAAGCGATGCTGCAGAAAAGACATCTGTCCCAAATATAACGTATTACTTCTTACTTTAGAGCAAAAGATCTCTTTTGGAAATAATTAAGGAGTGAAAAACCTCACTTTTCCCACTGAAATGCTGAAACATTTGCTGCACACACTTTTAGGCGAAACTAACACTTTGAAAGAAAGAAGTGTTTGCTTCTTTGCAGCAGCAACAAGCTGTATAACTTGTATAATTAGTTAGAAATCCAAAGGGACGGTGTTTCTTCCGATTTGTGTCTTCTAAAAGCACACCAACGCTGAAGGACACTTTCTTATTCTGTGTAATAAAAGTTAACGTTCAAAATTAGTTTGCATTTATCATTTCAAAAGGAAAAAAAGATCCTAGTTTAGCTCATTGTGGCCCAGACAAACAGTTTTTGTTCCTTCTGTCACTCAGCACCCACTGACAGAGGGGGGGGGGGGGGGGGGGGGGTGGTACCTCGGGGGGGGGCTGGAGTGGAGGGCGGGGCCTGGCCTGTGGAGGGCCGAGTGGTGCTGACGTACTGGTGGTCGCTGTCCAGGTCCAGCTTTCTCTTCACCTGATGGGAGACGGGCGCCGTCACACAGGAAGCCCAAGCACACAGGAAGCCTGAGGCTCTGAGCACAAACCCCAAAGCAACCCCCCCCCCGTTTGGAGCCCCTCTGAACAAACCAGACTCCCCATCTAACCTGTAATAATTGGGCTATAGTTTTGCTATAACCTAATCCATGTAAATGAATGACTGTCTTCTTCCCTTTTAGAGCTATACTTTTGTGTTAAAGTCTCTGTCAGACTATTTTCTCTCTGATACAGTGGATACTCGTCTTCAACCTCAACATCCACATCTTCCCATCACATGTCATCTGCATGAATTAGGACCTGGCCTGTTCATGTCAGAGTTAGCTGGCCAATAGCACTCGGTTGTGTCCGGTCCTCCTTTGTAAGGGGCCTGGCCCAGAAGATAAATGTCCATCACACCCGGATTTGGGGGCTCTTGAGATCCTACCTGTGTCCAGTAAAGGTCATATTTGTACTCTTGATCTATTCTGGATTGTTCTCAGGCTTCCTATCAGGTTAACAACCCCCCCCCCACGGGCTCACCGGCGGCCTCCCCAGCGCCGGGCGCCTCTTGTCCTGCAGGTCGGCGGGGCCCTGCGGCGTGGCGAACAGCAGGATCTCCCCGGTGCTGCTGGGGGCCGCGGCCGGGTGGAGCCCCTCATTGCCCGGGCTGGTGATGATCACGATCTGGTGGTCGGCGCCCAGGTCGATGCTCCCGGAGTTCAGCAGAGTCTCGAAGTCTGCCAACAGGTCCTCGGACGTCTGCCCCGTGAGCAGAGCCTCGGACATCCCTGAAGGGGCTGGGCTGCTCCTCTCCAGGGGGCCACAAACTCAAGGATCTGGACCTCAAGAGCCTGTCAGCACTTTTCTGCTGCCGTCTGGGGATTATTGGGGCATCATCACAGCCTCTCCACAGTCTGCCTGGAGGAGGTCAGCGTCCCCTAAAACATGTCCCCCTGGATCTCTGTCTGTCTGCTTTACAGTGGAAACACAACAGGCCGATAAAACTTTGAGCAAAGTTGGATCTATCGCAGGCGACGTGGCTAAGCAGATTTACACCAACAGTCGCTGACAGGATGTTCAGCCAAACAGGAAATTTGGCAAGTCGGGGAGGGCGGCTAAATTCATAACACCAGGAGGCTAAAGCCGCGGAAATGCAGCCGAAGAAAGGGCCGCAAAATGACCCGAGGGGGGGGGGGCGGCAGACCCGGGGGGGGGGGGGGGGTCACCAGCTAGCTCAGGACCAAGCTAGTCTTTTGTTTTCGTTCGTCCTGACAGTGGAGGCTGGCCGAGGCCTGGCCACTACCAGCCCGGCTAACGAGCTAGCTTGCGACTCGCCAACAACAACAACACAATAAACTCCCCACAAGTTCACAAACAGACCCACGCGGCTGCGAAACTAGCGGTTCACAACTAACAAACAACACACTCTCCCCCCGGACACGGAGGAAAGTCTACTCATTGAGGGGCTCCAGAAAAACTTTACGGCGGCTTATAGAAGTGAGCTATCGACACGAAACGTCCACGAGGCAAAAGCCATCGCGGCCAATTCAAATCGTCTCTGGGAAAATGTTCACGAAAGCCACGCGCGGTCGCGAGGAAAGCGCGGCCCTGCGGCTGGGTGTGGAGATATAGGGCACGTTAGCATGTTAGCTCGAGTGAGTTAGCCGTCGTTCTTCTGTCCCCTCGTTTTGTTGGGGCACGCAGGAAGCGGTCCGACCAAACTGGAGCCACAGGGGAGAGAAAAACCGTGGAAATGCACGCGCCACGTTTTCAAACCGGGTTTGTCCGCGTGCTGTCCGGTTGCTCGCCGCGCGCCGCGACCGTTTTACCGACAACGTCGCTCCGACCCCGTTACCGGCCGTTATTGTTGTTATTGTCCCAGCTGATCTAAACAAGCCCCGGACGGTTTTCCGCGCGAAATCTTTTTTGCCGCGAAAACCGTCACGTGGGGTCCTTCGACGGTTGCCATTGGCCAGAGAGCTGCGCTTTCGGCGGGGCGGGCGGAACCGTCTCTGATTGGTGCAAACGGCCATTGGCAACACAGGAAGCACAGACCAATCGATCCGATGGTGCGTTCGGGTACCGCGGGGAAAAACAAAACACATTCAAGGCAGCGTCTGCTTTGTTAACTTCGATCTGTTGCAACCTTTTTCAAACTTGAGACCGATAAAAAAAACAAATTCACAACAAACAGAAGCTGGGTGAACTTTATAACAAGCATTTCGCACGATTGTAACCTACATACTGATGCTATTTCAGTTATCACACCCACGCCTGTGAGTTTGGAGATATTCAGTTATCCAGTGTGTAATAATCATAATTGTTCCATCCTATGACGATTCACGAGGTGTTCACCAACCACTCACCTCTTTGAAAGGGGGGGATTGACGCGGTCTCCCAGATTTCACCGGAACTGGGGGGGAAATTTCCACACAGGGAACCGGTCCCTGAAGCGGCAGGCTCCTCCAATCGAGCTCACATCGCGCAGCAGGAGAGCAACAAGATGGCGCAGGCAATTTTTGAGGTGCTTGAAGGTAGAAATATTTTCATTGATCGCTTAATTAGAGACGCATTTGGACGTTGGAGGATTTTTAAAAAAGACTATTAATTGCACGCTCATTCTGTCATGCAGAAAAAGCCATCGTCACATCATGAATACGCGTCCATAAAAAAATCCCATAGATGGGACAGTGGGCTCGAGTGTAAACAAAATACCTGATCGATTAACAGGCGAACATCAAGGGGAGGTTATTGTTTAAGCATCTGATTTATTTATTCCATTTTCATTCAGTGTCAGAGAAAAATAATAAATATTCAAAATGAGTCTGCTTGTTTCTGACGATAGTCATCTGCCTGTAATTATTTTAAACTGGTTATGATTGGTTGGTTATCCAGTATGCAACTGTAGGCGTTGTGTATTTTTTTAAATTATGATTTTGATCAGTCCACCGTTGAAACTGTGGTTTATAGAATAATTTGGCTTTTCTGAAGATGCACAAACCAAGGAAGCTGCAGCAGTTTTTCCTTAGAACATTTGGTGAAGCATGTTTTCAGAAGATAGTGTGCTAGATAGTGTTTTTCATAAAAAAAAGAAATTATCTCATTATTATCTGACCAGATAAGACTTGAAAAATGACAGCATTCTGTTTAGAGACCAGAATTTGGACAGTCCTCCTCCTTATTTTATTCCTCCCTCTTCTTAGGCATGGACAACCAGACGGTGTTGGCGGTCCAGTCCCTGCTGGATGGCCAGGGGGGAGTTCCTGACCCAAACAACCAAAACGTGTCTGCAACGCCTGCTATCCAGTCAATGGGTATGACATTTAACCCAGCCTGAAGCAGCAGCCATCATAGGATTGTTTTGACTTATTTTCTCCTTAAAAGTAAAATATAACAACAGGAATTTAGATACTGGTTTCATTGGAGCAAAAAAAACAGCCAAAAATGGATTTCTTGCTTTGATCCTATGCTAAACAAATCTTCGGAGATCTTGGTGTGTGTACATTAAGTGTTTGTTTTTTGTTTTTTACAAGATTTACTGGCTCTGCTGCTAAATTACATGTTTCTCGTTTGCTACACGTACGCCTTTAAACTCCGTCTGGGTCTTTCCTGCAGACGACGAAGACGTTTTCCTGTGTGGGAAGTGTAAGAAACAGTTCAACTCTCTGCCGGCCTTTATGACCCATAAGAGAGAGCAGTGTCAGTCCGGGGCCCCCTCCCTGTCCACGGTGTCCCTGGCCTCCACCCACACGTACGCACCGGTCCCACCCATCAGCTCTGTGCCACAAACGCCGCCAAACAGACACGTGAGCGCGGAGTGAATCCTTTTTTTTATTTGATCCGATGCAGGAAGCTGAGAGTCAGCTCGCGTGCTTAAATCTGTACTTGAAAAACATGGAAAGTATACAGTAATATTAAATTTAACATGACTGATTAGGATTTAAAGAAGGATTCGCCCATCAGATAATCCTAATATTTGCTAATAATCCCAATGAACTTCATTTAACAGGTATCCACCTACATCACAGTCCCTCCCTCTCCGCTGACTCACACCCTGGTGCAAGGCAACGTGCTGGTCAGCGATGACGTTCTCATGTCGGCCATCTCAGCGTTCACCTCCATCGACCAGCCAATGGCCGCCATGCAGACGCCTGTACAGGTCAGTTGTCCCGCAGCGCAGTTGTCCCCTGTCGCTTCCATCCGCCCCAGCATCCAAATCCACGTCTTTCTGCCTTCTTTACAGAGTAACCTGAGCATGCACACGGCGGGAGTTTCATACCTGCAGCACCACCCGCACCACCACCACCACCACCACCACCAGCAGCAGCAGCAGTCCCCCCACCCGCTGCCCCCCGCCCCCAACCCCCCCCACCCGCTGCCGGCGGGGCAGCCCGCCCAGCAGCCGCTCGCCTCTCAGGTCCCGGCCAGCCACAGCAACTCGGTGGTGCAGGTCTACAGCACCATGCCTCATATGGTGGGCGGCGGCGGCGGGGGCGGGGGGGGTGGCGGCCCGGAGATCCACGCTTTAGGTCTGCAGGCTTTCCATCCTGTTCAAGTGAGTGCAGCCCGCTCCCGACACAGTCAAAGGCCTGGTCAAAGGCCTGGTACAATACCTGGTCAAAGGCCTGGTCAAGCACCTGGTACAATACCTGGTTAAAGGCCTGGTCAAAGGATTGGTCAAAAGCCTGGTCAAACACCTGGTTAAAGGCCTGGTCAAACAGCTGGTATAATACCCGGTCATACACCTGGTACAATACCTGCTCAAACACCTGGTACAATACCAGGTCAAAGGCCTGGTCAAAGGCCTGGTTAAAGGCCTGGTACAATACCTGGTCAAAGGAGTGGTCAAAGGCCTGGTCAAACACCTGGTCAAAGGACTGGTCAAACACCTGGTACAATACCTGGTTAAACACCTGGTTAAAGGCCTGGTCAAACACCTGGTACAATACCTGGTTAAACACCTGGTCAAAGGCCTGGTAAATCACCTGGTCAAAGGCCTGGTCAAAGGCCTGGTCAAACACCTGGTTAAAGGCCTGGTCAAACATCTGGTCAAACACCTGGTCAAACACCTGGTCAAAGGCCTGGTCAAACACCTGGTCAGACACCTGGTTAAACGCCTGGTCAAAGGATTGGTCAAAAGCCTGGTCATACACCTGGTACAATACCTGGTGAAACAACTGGTACAATACCTGGTCAAAGGCCTGGTGAAACAACTGGTCAAAGGCCTGGTCAAAGGCCTGGTCAAAGTCCTGTTAAACCCCTCCCCCCGTGCGCGTGTCCTCCCCAGGTGCCCAGTCAGTGTGTGGAGAGCCAGCCCTACACCAGCCCCCCCGTCTACAGTCCCGGCAAGCAGGGCGCCAAAACCAAGACCTGCAGCTCCGCCAGCGGCATGCCGGAGCTGGGCGACTTCGAGAAGGTCATCATCCCCAAACAGCCGAGGGTCAGCAAAAAGACCGCGGATGGAGCAGCAGGTGAGGAGAGGGTCGGATGTAGTGGGTAGCTGCCCCCCCCACGGGGGACACAAAGGAATCCATTCAGGTAAAAAAAGATTATGGGTCAGTTTGACAAATAGTAGGAATTCACTACGTTTGCAGTTTGGAGGGAAGTTTCATCGAACACTAGAACACTAGCTTTAGAGTTTAACGAAACCACACAGGAAACGAGACCATACCACAGCTGACTTAACTTTGCCCCCCCCACCCCCCCCCCCCCCCCCCCCCCCTCCTTCCAGCAGAGCAACTGAAGGCAAAAGGCCAGAAGCTGAAGTGTAATTTCTGCGACAAGGTCTTCTCCAAAAACTTCGATCTCCAGCAGCACATCCGCAGGTGAGTGTCGGCGTGGGGGGGGTCCCGGAGCTCGGGGGGGGGTCTCATTACAGACTGTTTCCTCCTTCGCAGCCACACCGGAGAGAAGCCCTTCCAGTGTATCGTCTGCGGCCGAGCCTTCGCCCAAAAGTCCAACGTGAAGAAGCACATGCAGACTCACAAGGTCCGGTCGCTGAACCCCCCCCTTTGTCCTCAGAACGTGGCGAGTTCACTGACCCCCAGCGCTCACGGCAGAAACTCTGTGTCCCCCGTTAAGGTTTGGCCCATGAACGTGGCCAGCACGGTGTCCCGGCTGCCAATCACAGTCAAGGTGGTGCCTCTGGCGTCCAGCCAGGAGGAGGAAGAGGAGGAAGAGGAGGAGGAAGAGGGGGGCGGGAAGCAGCAGGAGGGGCCGCCGGCCCGATCCGAGCAGGACTCCCCCCCAGCAGGTGAGGCCCCGAATGTCAACGCCCCCCCCCGATACGGGAGGAGATAGGTAGCCCATAACCAATGTTGGGGAGTAAGGGATTACATGTAACGACGTTACGTGATTTAATTACAAAAAAAGAGTAACTGTAATTCGTTACAGTTACAATGAGAAAATATGTCATTCAGTTACAGTTACTTCCGAAAATATTAAGAATTATTGAGAACAAATTTAGTTACATGTTTTAAAAAATATAAAGAAAAACCTTTGCGAAATATGCAACTCACTGATAGACGAAGCGTATTGATTTACTAATATTTGACTGTTTGGTGTTGCATGACAAACGTTTATCGATGTCTATGACCTAGCCTAGCCTAGCCCACCTAGCCTACCCAACTGTAGGGTGACCAGACGTCCTCTTTTTCCCGGACATGTCCTACATTTCAGACTAGGGTTGTCAAAAGTATCGATACTTAAAAAAGTATCGATACTAAAATGTTGTATCCGGATACGACTGACCTGCCGTCGCTGCGCCCCTTGTCTCCGATTTATTTATGTATTTATTTACGTTGTTTATGATCATTAACAAGACGTTAGCCTTGAACTGCTAGCTGCGGCCAATAGCTAATAATAACATGCTAAAATTAATCATGGGTCAATACTCATTAAAACCTTAAAGTAATCAAAAAGTAATCAAAAGTAATTAGTTACATTACTTTTTAAAAGTAATCGAAAACGTTACACTACAATTACATTTTAAACAAGGTCACTTGTAACTGTAACGGATTACATTTTTAAAGTAACTTACCCAACACTGCCCATAACCACCGATGGTTTCACAGAGGCCCCGGACGAGCTGGACGAGGGTCTGGATGAGGGTCTGGAGGGGGGTCAAGCCCACCGGGCGGTGGGCCGAGGAGAGGAGGCGGGGGGCGGACCCCCCCGGGCCCGGATGCAGGCGCAGGCCCCGGCCAACCAGAAGCAGGCGTGCGGGGCCGAGGGCCGACAGATGGTGGTGATAGACAGCTCCTACCAGTGCCAGTTCTGCGCCAGCAAGTTCAAGACCTACTTCCAGCTCAAGTCCCACCTCACGCAGCACAAAGGGGAGCAGGTGGGCAGGGAAAAAAGGAAGGGGGGGTGGACAATGTCCGCCTCCGGGGTGGGGAGGAAGTGGTGCCTAATGTAAAAAGATCCAACCGCCCCAACCCCCTCCTGCAGGTCTATAAGTGCGTGCTGAAGTCCTGCTCGCAGACCTTCCAGAAGCTGGACCAGTTCCTGGAGCACATCCGGACGCACCAGGAGCAGCTGACCTACCGCTGCCACCTGTGCAGCAAGGTGTTCCCCTCCCTGTTCGAGCTGGGAGTCCACCAGTACTCCCACTGCTTCTGCCCGCAGCAGAACACACGCAAGGAGACCACCGTCTACAGGTGAGCCCCGCCCACACCTGGGGCCACAAGTCCAGGGCAAACCTGGAACCACAAGTCCAGGTCACAACTGGTCAAAGGCCTGGTCAAACACCTGGTCAAAGGCCTGGTCAAACGCCTGGTCAAACACCAGGTTAAAGGCCTGTGTTTGACCAGAGCCTGCCCAAACCTGGGACCACAAGTCCAGGTCACACCTGGTCAAAGGCCTGGTCAAACACCTGGTCAAAGGCCTGGTCAAACACCTGGTTAAAGGCCTGTATTTGACCAGAGCCCGCCCAAACCTGGTACAACAAGTCTAGGTCACACCTGGGACCACAAGTCCAGGTTGCACCTGGGACCACAAGTCCAGGTCAAACCTGGTCAAAGGCCCGGTCAAACACCTGGTTGATGGCCTGTGTTTGACCAGAGCCTGCCCAAACCTGGGACCACAAGTCCAGGTCACACCTAGGACCAGAAGTCCAGGTCAAACCTGGGACCAGAAGTCCTCAGGGATGCTGGTTTGGTCCTTCACCATCTGTACCACGATGGAAAGTAATGTCTCCATCATCCGGAGACTGTCTCAGGATAACAAATCCCTTTCATTTCCTTTTCATATAAACATTTTATCTTCATTTAACCCCACCAGTCGCCTGGCTGTAAACCAGCCGATCGGCTCAGAGGATCCCATCCCTCCTGATTTCATTCAGGAAAAGAGGTCAACCAGTCGGACCTTCAGAGGTTCAATGATCCAAACTAATCAGACCTGAATCAGTTTTCACACCCAAAAGCAAGAGTGGAAATAGGATTTTCCATCAGAGACGCACATCTCAAACCGGCCGGCAGGGCGAGCAGTGTTCTGCCGTTTCGTTTGGAGCTTGAATTTGTCTCATTGTGCTCCGTTTCTTCTTCCAGGTGCGTGAAATGTCAGAGCAGATATTCGACTCAGGAGGCCCTGGAGCAGCATCTTCTGACGGCTTCACACAGCTTTCCCTGCCCTCACTGCCAAAAGGTTTGCCCCCCCCCACACCCTGCAGAACCCTCATGCAGCCATTTAGGGGATCTATGGAGTTAAAGTCCTACCATCTGCTGTTTGCAGGTTTTCCCGTGCGAGAGATATTTCCGCCGCCACCTCCCCACCCACGGCGTGGGCGGCAGGTTCAAGTGTCAGATCTGCAAGAAGGCCTTCAAGACGGAGCACTACCTCAAGCTGCACATGCGCATCCACTCAGGTCCGGCCCGGGTACCTCGCGGTCTTTGTTTTGTTTTTTTTAAGCGTCTGAAGGCGCCACGGACCAGCTGAGAGCTCAGTTCTGCCCGTTCTGTTTGCAGGCGAAAAGCCGTACAAGTGTTCCCTCTGCGAGGCCACGTTCAACCGGAAGGACAAAGTCAAGCGACACATGCTCATCCACGAGCCCTTCAAGAAGTACAAATGCCCCTTCAGGTGAGGCCCTGTTTCACTTCTTCTGCGTCTAACTACGCCCACAGTTTTCAGCCAAATAAGGACTCAAAATGTTTGGCTCCTTTAGCGTTATGCAGCTATGACTTTTGGTGTTCATATCTTTTCAACTTTTTAAGTTATTTAACTTTTTCTGCTTTTATTTTGTCTCATTGAAATGAATGGAGTCAAAAACATGGCTCCATCTGTTGGACACTGGCGTTTCAGCCCCTTCAAATTCTTGCTATGTTGTCCTATGCCTCCTTTCCGACAGCGAGAGGTCACTGGTTCAAATCCCATTAAAGTCTTCAGTTCTTCTAATTCTTTTGCCTTTATTCTCCCACTCTTCAGTTCAATGTCTTCTTCAGCTTTTCTTTGGCTTCTTCTGGTTCCTCCCTTTAGCATTTCTTCTTCAACTCTTCGGTTCTATGTCTGTCTCAGCTTTTCTTTGGCTTCCTCCCTTCAGCATTTGGCATTCTCACAGCTAGTTTGTCTTCTGTTTGTGCGTCAGGACGCACGTGGGCTGCACCAAAGAGTTCAACCGGCCGGACAAACTGAAGGCGCACATCCTGTCTCATTCAGGTGAGCGAGCCGCTCCACGCTTGGGGGGGGGGGGGGGGAGAATGCCCCGGCGCCCCCTGTCTCTCCCCCCCCCCCCCCCCTTCACCTTTTCCTCCCGCTAGGCATCAAGCCCTACAAGTGTCTGTTTTGCCAGAAGACGTTCAGCCGCAGGGCCCACATGCTGGAGCACCAGCAGTCCCACACCGACAACTACCGCTTCCGGTGCTCCGCCTGCAACAAGGGCTTCACCCGCCAGAGCTACTACCGGGACCACAAGTGCCCCGCGGCCGGGGGGGGGGCGGGGGCCGAGGGGGACGAGGAAGAGCAGGAGGAGGAGGAGGAGGAGGAGGAGGAGCACACGGCCGAGGAGAAGGATGGAGACCGGCTGAAAAGGCCGGGGAACGCAGAGGAGGAGGAGGAGGAGGAGGAAGAAGAGGACAGCCGACAGGGGGAGGCGCCAAGTGGGGAGGAAGAGGACGAGAGGGGGGCCGACGGGGGGGGTCAGGCCGCCATCAGCGCTGCCGAAGGGCGGGGGGGCGGGGAGGGGGGGGAGGAGGCTCACGGAGGGGGGGAGGCGGGGATTCAGAAGAACCAGCAGAACGGTTTGCAGCGGCCATGTTTATAGCGGCACTTCCTGGATCCGCCCGACTCTCCCAAAAGGGGGTCGGAAATCCAGGAAATAATCCCGCCGTTTGTTTTACATTAAAACGTCATTTAGACTTTTTTTTTCTCCCATTTTAACTTCTTCTCTGGGGGAAAAAAAAAAGAAGGTGTTTTGGGAGACGTGATGTTTCCACAGCTGCTCATTTACAATGTGCTGAAGCCAACCTATGTAGCAAAAGCTAAATTATAAGAAGTTTACCCACATCTAAGAGGTGTTTGTGCTTATTGATATCTGTCCGTATTTTCAGAAATGTTTCATATTCAATTTTGAAGCCCAACAAACTTAGTATTGTGTGGTTTAGGGAACGTGGCAGCATGGTGATTTAAGACAGATCAAAAAAATCTTTTAAAAAGAGGTTTAAATCCTAAATAAAATACCCAGAAAGCAGATAAAATAAAAGTTTTACCACTTACTAATATTCCTAAATGATTAAATGCAACTTCTTTCTCCAAACAGTTGCGGATTTTTTACTTCAGTAAAAACACATTCCTGTTTTTTTAATTTAATTTATTAAGGTGACAATTTCTATATTACACATCTTCATGTACATCAGCAATTAAACAGGGAAAAGAAAATAGAGTATTACCATAAACTTCTTATTAAAACCTCTCTTATAAAAGAAAAATTTGTTATTGACACCATTTACAGCTTGGTTTCCTATACAGGAGAGTGACAGTGGTTTAGTCGGATATGGAGGATTCTGGAAAGCATTTTCCTTTAAATACTAATAAAAAAAAGAGCGATGCTGACTGACGCTCTCTTGTTTTTAACCCTGTGATTTAAATAAGTGATAAACCCAGGAGGTGAAACAGCATCCTGCATCTGGGGGGAGGGGGAGGGAATAGTCTGAGGCAAAATCGACCAATCGAGCTTTCATCCTGATACATTCAATGAGTCTCCCAGGCGTTGGACACAGTGGGTCAGCGGCCTCTGATGAACACGTCCTGATCTGGTTTCTTCCACTCTGAGCAGATCGGATGAAAAGAAACCCAGAATAAAACCGACCTGTGCTCTCCGGTGGCCGCACATAGACACCAGAGCCATGAGGGTGGGAATAAGGCTTCCTGCTGATGCCAAAGATGGCGAACTGAGCCCACAGAAACGTGTTTTAGATCACATGCTCCTCCCTCTGGGTCTCCACAAGCTTTTTAATAACCTTAATGTAAGAGGAGGGGGAGGCATGTAAAACATACTGGGCAGCAGTCTCAAAGGAAAGAGCTGAGGAACTGCCCCAAAAAGGATCAGTAAAGAAAAAAGAAAATCCCCTCCTGACCCACACGGTCTCACTTTATGAACAGAGCAGCTTCATCATCTTAAACGTTGGGATGGCGATCAGACGTTTAGGGTTTGTGGACAGTCATCAGTAGGCCGCACAAAAACAGGCCAAAATATGTTGCGTTTGTGTTATTTAATCTGAAAGAGGAGCAATAATCTTCTGTATTAGCAGATTTAAAATGTATTGTCTGACCAGTGTTGGCAAATGAAGAATTTGCCAATATATGTTCCTGTTTAGGTGTTCAAATCAAGACGTGAAAATGTCTCTTAAAATCTAAAATAGTGCATTTGTTTTGATCCGATTTTGGTTTTCTGTTTCATTTCTTTAGGGTCCAGTCAGACAACCCCCTTCTGAACGTTAAATGAATGATTGTTAATCCCATTATTAAAGGCGAGCAATGCCATTAAAGCTGCGCTTTAAAATTCTTCCAGAATACTCTAATCCATAATGTCCCATTCCACGTCACGGCGTGCAAACTCTGGCCCTATAAAACTAGGGCCAGTTAAGGTTGTGTTCCACATTTGCCACAAATAATGGAGGCTACAACACTTTTCACAATCATGATTCGATTCACAGGAGAAACAACACAAACTCCAGACCACGGAACATCCCAAATCTCTTTGAAGCACCAAGATTGTCTGTTATTTAAGCGTTAATTTGGAGCACTAGGTTTTTTTGAAAATGACGCATTATTGCTTTAAGTCGTTAGTACAGAGTCTCCCACTTTTTTTGGTGCAATTCAACCCCGTTTAAAAATAGAAAAGAAAACAGAAAAAAAGAAAGCCCTGACTTCTCAAACCTGCATTAAAATGGAAAACCATCGCTGCTCTTTTCCGGCCGTGAGAATGTGACTGGAGCTCTGGGACCCCCTCCATGGGCAGAGAGAGGGAGGCTGCCATGGTTCTGCTTCACAGCAGAGGGAGAAGGTGAGCTGTCAGAATCTCATGCATAAATTGGCGCACATTCTCAGGAGCGGGAGCGGCTTCCATGTTTTGGTTTAAAGGGTACAAAGCTTTTCCTCGCCCCTTTTGGGCTCCCAGCTTCGCGTCCACAGATTTTCGGCAGCATGAGTGAACGCCATGCTGCCGAAGCCCCTCTAACACTGACGGTGGGACTCCTTCATGCTCTGGCACCTCGTCCTCCGCTTCTCCCTTCACTCCTGCCCGAAGCCTTCCGTCTCCTCGATGGCGAACATCAGCTTCTCCTTCAGCTGCTCGTAGCTCTTGTAGGGCGGCAGGTCCAACCTGTTGAAGCTGGAGAAAGTAAAGCAACTTTTTACACCCATTTGTTTCTCGGAAAATGGCTTTTACGCACGGCTGAACATAAAAACAGGCTTTTCCACCCCTTTTTTCTTTTTAAAGTTAAACCTTTTCCTGCACATTGGCCTGGAGACGGAGCTCATTTCACTTCCACGTCAGTCAAACAAATAAATAAATGAACGTATAACGTATCAGCAGCACTATTTGGCATCTGTTCTTAACGAAGCCTCAACAGTAAAACATTTAAACTGGACATATGGCAGAAAAAGAGGAAAGAAATTGAGCTGTCAGCATATATGCCTGATGAGATGAGACTAAATCTCTGAAGATATTACAGATAGATATATTTATACCATATGACAACTTGTGGCTTGGGATGCCATAAGCATTTATATATTAATGTATTAAAAGGTACTTTGACAAAGCCGTTTCACATAAAAATAACAAATAAAGACCTGAACGTATTAAAAAAAAATATAAAAAGTCCATTTTTGTTTCTAGAAAACGACTGATGGTGTTAGCTGGCAGGTAAATGCAGCAGAGTTATGTTCTGTGAAGCTCCTAAAGTCAGACGGCTGGACAGTAAAATGGAATAAATCACACGGACACCTGCCTCCCCGGCAGCGATCTGAAGGCACTCACCACGTGTGGCTCCGGGGAAGCCAGTTTTCTTTTCCCACCTTCTCAATACAGAACTTTTGAGGACCGTTGCTTCCTACAAAGCAAGTCAGCAGAAGCCAGAGTTACCACTGTAATTAAATACTTTACCATCAGCAAGAAAGAACCATCAGTGGCACTGAACAAAATACATCAATGGAGTTTGATGTTTTTGCATCAGATCCAAAGCGACTAAAACTCCTTTAAAGAGTTTCATACATGATCTGCTGTAATTAAATGCCTAATTGATGTAATTGTTACCCATGAGGTCGGCGAAGCCTCCGACTGGCAGGCGGCAGGTGCCGGTGACGAACTGGAGCAGCCTCATCCGCTTCTCGTTATCCATCTCCTTAATGAACTGCAGAGAAAAGCAGCGAGCTGTTTAACAGGCGCCATCAGAGAGAGGATACAGCTGAACAAACGGACTACGAGGCAGGTGTAGAGACGCCTGTGCTCCGGGTTACGGACGGATCAGGAATGGATCGGACCAGCATTTAAAAAGACAAAAGCGCTCCCAATTTGGGTTGATATTAGAACACACACTTCTAATCACACACCTAACGGATAAAACCAGAAAAAAATACAGAAATACAGCAGAACCTCTACTTACGATCGATATAAACAATATAATATATAAAAATTAAGTAAAAATAAATAAGCAAAGTTAGTTTAAAGTTCATGTAGTGAAAGTTAGAGTAAGTTAGGCTACGTCCTGTATCTCAGTCTCCACTTCTACCTCCGTTTGAAAATGAAAAAACACTTTTATTGATTATTTCTTTTCAAATACCTCTTATATAATGCATTTGTTTTATTGTTATGTGTAATTATCTGCAGTATTTATTACAGTGTTATCGTAGGTTTTTGGGCTGTGGAACGAGTTATAGGAATTACAGTGTATTCTTATGGGAATATTCAAACCAACATACGAATACTTAAACATATGAAGTAGGTCCTGGAAGTAATTAATTTCCAATGTAGAAGTTCTGCTGTATTCTGGAAGTGACTGACCTGCCAGAACCAGAGGATCTGCTTGCTGCTGCGTGCGTAGTGCCTGTAGATGGTGTTCCTCTGCCAGTCGGCGAGGTCGATCTCCTGCATACCGCACAGCATCACCTGCAACACCACACGGCTCGGTTAGAAATCCAGAGGCAACGGATCGCTTAGCGGGCGTTTGGGGCCCCGGACGCACCTCCAGCTCTTTGGCGTCAAAGTACTGCAGGGACTGCTGCGGGAGAACCTCGTTGAAGCCTTCGAAGAAGGCTTTGGTCTGCTCTTCCACTCCTCTGGACAGCCGCCACTCTGAAACCAGCCTGCGGGGGGCGGGACACAAACAGGCCGAGAGCCCGTGAACGTCACAAACCTACAACGCACACCTCCACTAGGCTTGTCCCGATCCGATATCTGGATCGGATGCCGATATTTGCAAAAAAATGCGTATCGCCCGACAGGAGAAAATGAAGATCCAGTTTTTTTTTTAAAGTCAGATCACACACGAGCATTATTATTAGCATCTCCTAACCCACGGGTCTGTGTCCTAACCATTAAGTTGTTATCAGAGTACAACATGAGTCGGACAACTAAGTGAGTAGATAAATAACTTTAAACTTTAATACGGCTCGGATTGGAAGTACAAAAAGCTGGATCGGGACATCCCTAATCTCCAAGCATAAAACCGCCCTTTGAATGTTTAATTCAAGAGAATCAAAAGTAGAAAGACCGAGAACCCACTTGATGTACTCCTCCTTGTTCTCCTCTGTGACTTGGATGTC